CAGATTCAAATGAGACCTCGCCATCCCCTGGAGGCTGCGATCTGTGAAACTGTCGCCACTTTCGAGGCCTGCTGGGGGGCCCAGCACAGTGACGCCACGCGCGGACCCAAATTAGACCTCGCCATCCCTGCGGGGCTGCGATCTGTGAAACTGTCGCCACTTTCGAGGCCTGCTGTGATCCCCGTTTTCGAAGTGGCTAGGAGTGCTCAGGAATTGTAACTCATCAGCTTTATCAAGCCCTTTTCCTGTAGCCAGTGTCCTGCGAGTCTCCCGAATTCCGTCTGCAGACATATGTAACCCTCGCTCCGTCATCGCACCCTTATAAAGTATCCTAAACTATTTGCGCCCCGCTTTTGCGCAGGGGTTGGGTACGTCGCCAGGGTAATTTTATTATTCGGCGATGCACGGCCGTTACCAGGGGGGGGCGGGTCACGTCACGATTCGCGCCGGTGGCGTAGTAGAAGTAGTAGTAGTAGTCGTCGTCGTCGTCGTCGTCGTCGTCGTCGTCGTAGTAGTAGTAGTCGTAGTCGTAGTCGTAGTCGTAGTCGTAGTAGTAGTAGTAGTAGTAGTAGTAGTAGTAGTAGTAGTAGTAGTAGTAGTAGTAGTAGTAGTAGTAGTAGTAGTACTGGTACTAGTACTAGTACTAGTACTAGTATTAGTACTAGTACTAGTAGCATTACTATTTTTATTATTAGTAGTAATAGTAGTTGTTGTTGTTGTAGTTGTAGTTGTAGTTGTAGCACTAGTCGCGCTAGTAGTAGTAGTAGTAGTAGTAGTAGTAGTAGTAGTAGTAGTAGTAGTAGTAAGTAGTAAGTAGTAAGTAGTAAGTAGTAAATAGTAAGTAGTAAGTAGTAAGTTGTAAGTTGTAAGTAGTAGTAGTAGAAGAAGTAGTAGTAGTAGTAGTAGTAGTGGTAGTAGTAGTAGTAGTAGTAGCTAGTAGTAGTAGTAGTAGTAGTAGTAGCAGCAGTAGTAGTAGTAGTAGTCGTAGTAGTAGTAGTAGTAGTAGTAGTAGTAGTAGTAGTAGTAGTAGTAGTAGTAGTAGAGTAGTAGTAGAAGTGGTAGTAGTAATAGTAGTAGTAGCAGTAGTAGTGGTAGTAGTAGTAGTAGTAGTAGTAGTAGTAGTAGTAGTAGAGAAGTCGTAATACTAGAACTAGTAACTAGTACTAGTACTAGTACTAGTACTAGTACTAAAGTAAACTAGTACAAGTACTAGTAATAGTCTAGTACTATAGCAATTAATTATTCCCCGAACCCCTCCATGGTGGGTATTTCGTTTTGAAATATAGCAGTGTGGTCGCGTCACTCCTCCTTCTCCCGCCTCTTCTGTTTTTTGCCTGCGGGGGGGCTGCGATCTGTGAAACTGTCGCCACTTTCGAGGCCTGCTGGGGGGCCCAGCACAGTGAGGGCCACGGGCGGACCCAAATTAGACCTCGCCATCCCTGGGGGGCTGCGATCTGTGAAACTGTCGCCATTTTCGAGGCCTGCTGGGGGGCCCAGCACAGTGAGGGCCACGCGCAGATTCAAATTAGACCTCGCCATCCCTGGGGGGCTGCGATCTGCGAAACTGTCGCCATTTTCGAGGCCTGCTGGGGGGCCCAGCACAGTGATGGCCACGCGCCCGGACCCAAATTAGAACCTCGCCATCCCTGGGGGGGCTGCGAATCCTGCGAAACTGTCGCCACTTTCGAGGCCTGTTGGGGGGCCCAGCACAGTGAGGGCCACGGGCGGACCCAAATTAGACCTCGCCGTGCCTGGGGGGCCTGCGATCCTGCGAAACTGTCCGCCATTTCGAGGCCCTGGCATGGGCGGACCAAATTAGACCTCGCCATCCCTGGGGGGCTGCGATCTGCGAAACTGTCGCCATTTTCGAGGCCTGCTGGGGGGCCCAGCACAGTGATGGCCACGCGCGGATTCAAATTAGACCTCGCCATCCCTGGGGGGCTGCGATCTGCGAAACTGTCGCCATTTTCGAGGCTTGCTGGGGGTCCCAGCACAGTGAGGGCCACGCGCGGATTCAAATTAGACCTCGCCATCCCTGGGGGGCTGCGATCTGCGAAACTGTCGCCATTTTCGAGGCCGGCCTGCTGGGGGGCCCAGCACAGTGAGGGCCACGCGCGGATTCAAATTAGACCTCGCCATCCCTGGGGGGCTGCGATCTGCGAAACTGTCGCCACTTTCGAGGCCTGCTGGGGGGCCCAGCACAGTGAGGGCCACGGGCGGACCCAAATTAGACCTCGCCATCCCTGGGGGGCTGCGATCTGTGAAGCTGTCGCCACTTTCGAGGCCTGCTGGGGGGCCCAGCACAGTGACGCCACGCGTAGATCTGAGCAAGACCTCGCCGTGCCTGGGGGGCTGCGATCTGCGAAACTGTCGCCACTTTCGAGGGCTGCTGGTGGGTCCAGCGGAGCGAGGCACCGCGCGGATCTGAGCAAGACCTCGCCGTGCCAGGGGGGGCTGCGATCTGCGAGACCGTCGCCACTTTCGAGGGCTGCTGGTGGGTCCAGCGGAGTGAGGCACCGCGCGGATCTGAGCAAGACCTCGCCGTGGCTGCGATCTGCGAAACTGTCGCTACTTTCAAAGGCTGGTGGCGGGTCCAGCGGAGTGAGGCAACACGCAGATCTGAGCGGGACCTCGCAATCCTTGAAGAGCTGCGAGCCTCACGCATGCCGCTCGCAGAAATATATGAGCCCATGTCACGTCATCACTTCTGTATAGCGTCTCCCAAGCTACTCATGCCCCGCATTGCGCAGGGGTTGGGTACGTCGCCAGGGTAATTGTTATTATTATTATTCCCAACCCTCCTTGGTTGGGTATTCGTTTTGAATAGAGCAGGGTGGTCGCGTCACTCCTCCTGCCTCCCGCCTCCCTCTTGCCTCTTCCTGTCTTGCCTGCGGGGGGCTGCGATCTGTGAAACTGTCGC